ATTTTAATTAGGGTATGAGCAAAGGTCCTGCGGTACCTTATGGCTCAGAAGCCTGAAAGGCAACAGCTAGCCCAGGGTTTGTACCAATGGTACTGAGGTCCTCCAGGCAAAACCTCATTAATAAGAATGTGGGATCCCAAGTAGGATCAAAAAGATCGTCAGATTGGAGGGAGGCCACTGTTCCTCGCACACCTCTGGCTAACGGTACAATACAGCAGATGAGATGATTTCTTTCCAATCCCCTTCCTGAATTAAATGTTACAGAATGCCTTCCCTGGAGAAACTGGGAAGGAGAACCCACGGCTCCTGCAGACGCACAGTTGGGCCTGCGCCGCCAACAGCCAGCCCCACTCGCTCCCCCACCCAAACCGGAGCCAGGGTCACGCAGCCTCGCGCTGAAGCCGGAGCCCTCGGGTCAGTGCCTCAAAGGGGCAGTCCCGCTCGGGGGCTGCTGCCCGGCTGGAGCGGTCGCGCGCCCGCGGCCTCCCACTCCAGGCTGGCTGCGGCCAGGTGACGTCGCGGTGGCCCCAGCAGGAGCACAGCATTCGGCGTGCCGGGGGCGAGGTGTCCCTTCCGGCCTGGACAGGCCTGGAGTCGGCGCGGCCCGCTTAGTGGCCCCGGCTGAGGTACACGCAGGCTGGCTGCCCCGCTCGACCGGGCCCCCGAGTGGCCTCGGCGCCTCCCTGGGGTCCCCAAAACCGCCCTCCCAGCTTTCCCGGAATGAAGAAGGATGGAGGAGAGCAGTGTGGAAGAAGAATAAGAAAATGATCGAACTGCACAATCAGGAATACAGCCAAGGGAAACACGGCTTCACCATGGCAATGAACTCCTTTGGTGACATGGTGAGTGCGGTGTGGATTGCTGAACTCTAGGCTTCCTCTCCTCAGTTCTTTACCAAAATAATCGCTTGCTTTGCAACGTTTTATTTACTTTTCCTTGAAGACTAATGAAGAATTCAGGCAGGTGATGAATGGCTTTCGAAACCAGAAGCACAAGAAGGGAAAAGTGTTCCGAGAGCCTCTGTTTCATCAGGTCCCCAAATCTGTGGACTGGAGAGAGAAAGGCTATGTGACTTCTGTGAAGAATCAGGTGAGATGCTGTCAGATGCAGTCCTCTTATCTCTACAGGAAAGTCAAGAGGCAGTTGACATCTGTGCTTTGGTAGACTGTGGATCGATGTGTAGTTCACTGTTTTTTAAAGAGTATTTGCGATATGAGCTGTTGTCAAAGTCTTGTTATTTGTTTTGTGTGTGACAGCTCATTAATTTCCTTTTTAGGGTCAGTGTGGTTCTTGTTGGGCTTTTAGTGCAACTGGTGCCCTTGAAGGACAGATGTTCCAGAAAACTGGCAAACTTGTCTCACTGAGTGAGCAGAACCTGGTGGACTGCTCTCGGCCTCAAGGCAACGATGGCTGCAATGGTGGCCTGATGGACTATGCCTTCCAGTATGTTAAGGAGAACGGAGGCCTGGACTCTGAGGACTCCTATCCATATGAGGCAGTGG